ATATTTATGGTTTTGTTTTGTGCCTGTGTTTGAGGGTACATTTGTGTGTATTTTTGTAATAAGAACTTGTTTTAGAAACCAGTGCCTTTGAACCAAGTTGTAAGAGAAAAAAACCGGAGTCATAAATGGTTTTGTAGAATAGGCGGTTCTTCTGTCGCCACTATGGCAGCTGCTCTCTTTGGCGTGCATCCCCAAAGAATTTACACTCTTTATGAAAGAAGGAGGAAGAAGGAACAGAACAGGAAGAGGAGGAGCTGGGGCACCTGAGGAAGAAAAGGAGAGAAGGGGAGGAGGGAGGGAGGGAGGGAGGCAGCCAGTTTCCCCGGGCACAATCTGGACAAGATTGAGAACGAAGAATATCAGCAAATGCCAAAGGCAAGCAGCCCTGGAGTCCTGTAAGTGGGTGCACCTCGCCAGTCCAGCACAGGAGGCAGGACGTGTAGTCCTGCACAGGAACTTATCGATTGTTTGATTTCAGACAAATGTCTCTGCTGAGCTTTAGGTGTGTAAACACCTGATCTGCTGGGTCAGTAGGGTATCCTAAAGAGGCCACAAAAATACCTGGTGTGCAGCCAAGGCTCCACAATCAGAAACTCCTGGGATTCGCCACTGCAGCCAGCTCAGTGACTTAGGCAAGCATTCATCTTGCACCTGTCTGTAAACACCAGCTTGGAAGAGAGAATGGCTAAGAAAGGAGCTTCTGATTTCTCAAGTACGCCAGCCTAGAGGCTGTGAAGGTTTTTGTTGCTGTTGTTTTTTTTTTTTGCTTGCTTGATTTATTTTGTTTTGTCTTGTTTCCTTTTTAGTAGGAGTGGAATCCTCTCCCTCATCTAGAAAACACTTGTGTGTGATCCCATTTCATCCAGGATATATTCTGTTTCTCTTTCTTTCTTTCTTTCTTTCTTTCTTTCTTTCTTTCTTTCTTTCTTTCTTTCTTTCTTTCTGTCTCTCTCTCTCTCTCTCTCTCTCTCTCTCTCTCTCTCTCACACACACACACACACACACACACACACACACACACACACACACAGAGCTCAGACAGTTCAGACAGTTGTGAGCTGTCATGTGAATGCTGGGAATATGAACCCGGGTCCTCTGGAAGAGCAATCAGTGCCTTTAACCACTGAGCCATCTCTCCAGCTCCAAATAACAGGATTACAACCAATGAGAAGGCAGAACAGAAAGTCAATAAAAAGACAGACACACAGGAAGTAGGCCTCTTTCTGAGGGAAAGGACGACAGCGGCAGCTAAGGGTAAGAAAAGGTGGTTTTAAGTCTCAGCTCTCAGCTACTGCTCTGACCTCTTGGGCTTTTAACTCTGCAATTGGCTCTGTGTTTCTTATTTAATAAGACTGTTCATCTACAGAGACCTTGTTGGAGTAAGTGTGTCACTGTGGGGGTGGGTTTTGAGGTCTCCTATGGTCAAGCCATGTCTAGTTCAGTTCATGTCCTATTGCCTTCTGATCAAGATGTAGGACTCTCAGTTCCTTCTCCAGCACCATGTCTGCCTGCATGCTGCCATGTCCCACCACGATGATAATGGATTAAACCTCTGAACTGTAAGCCACCCAATTTTTTTCTTTATATATAAGTCGCCATGATCATGGTGTCTCTTCACAGCAATAGAAACTCTAACTAAGACTCATGACCAAAGGAAGATTTTCAGATAATTCAGTCATTGACCCAAACAGGCCCTTGGGTACTAGACATAGACATTGTAGTTAGACTTTTCTTTGTGCTTCCAGCTCACAAATAATGACTCAGAAACTTATTATTAATTACGAAAGCTTGGCCTTAGCTTAGGCTTTCCCCCAACTAGCTCTTATAAGTTAATTAACCTGCTTTTATTAATCTACATTCTGCCATGTGGCTCAGTTACCTCTCCTCTGTACTGTATGTCCCAACTTCTTCAGTGTCTCCTGGCGTCTCTCATGCACCTAGATTCATCCCAAGTTCCTCTCTCTGCCTGGAAGTTCCACCTAGTCTCTCCTGCCTAACTATTGGCCATTCAGCTTTATATGAAACCAATCACAGTGACACATCTTCACACAGTGTAAACAAATATTCCACAACAGGACATACACAAAACACTGTGTCCTCTTGTTGTCTTGGATGTAGATCTGAATCAGGAACCAACAGGTTTATGCTATAGTCCTCATTCTTCCCTTCAATAGTCATAGGGCCCAAATGGCATCATTTGGAAAGTATTTGCTAAGTCTTCCTAATATACTCTCTAACATGACAATGAATAATCAGAGATTGCCACATTCTGTAGTCAATGCTGCTATTGAAAGGCTTTTGAATCAATCTTCCAGGACTGTTACAATAAATCACTACATATAAGACATTAGTATTAGTTACTTTTCCATTGCTGTGATAAAACACCGTAACCAAGGGAAATTACAGAAGGACGTTTATTAAGGCTCATGGTACCAGCTAGAGTCTATAATGGAGGAATAGAGGCATTGCGGCAGGACCAGGAAGCAGAGAGAGTGCACTGGGCATAGTGAGGGCTTTTTAATTCTCAGAGTGCCTCAGTGATGTACTTCCTCTAGCAAGGCCACACCTCCACATCTTCCCAAATAGTGCCACTTAGTGAGTACCACATACTCAAATGCCTGAGACTATGGTGGATATTTACAAACTACCACAACACTTAAACCCAAGTATTCTTTTTTTTTCCCTTCAGTTTCAGAGGTCCACATTCACTTATCACCCACACTTCAGAGGGTTACTTGATGGTTACTCTCATTGGTGGGATTTGGAATCACCTGGGAGACACATCTTTATGCCTGTCTGTGAGGGCGTTTCTAGAGAGGCTTAACTTAGGAAGGCTCATTCTGAACGTGTGTGGGCTATCCCGTGGACTGTGGTTCTATACAAAGCAAAAAGGAGAAAACATTGAACAGAGGTGCTCTGAATGCCTCCCCCAGAAGACATGGGTTATTAAATGAAATAACGTAGAATAATTTCCTAAGAACTCCCTATGTTCAGGGAGGCCCAGAGGCTCCCGACACAACACAAGCTAGTGTCATTGCTCTTGGTTGTCCATCACAGCTAGGCAGCAAGACCCCATTGTTGAAGACATAACACACTGTGTGTACAGGTTGTAGAGAAACTAGGCTGGAACTAACTTAGAGTCTTCTCCCTATTGGCTACCTTTAATAGAGCCAGTAGGTGCTGTATAGGCTCCTGAGAGAGAAAAGTCATCAATGGACTTACCCAATGGTACAACCCACATGCTAAAGTACTAACCTGCCAGGCACTGGTACAATAGTGGCTTGACCATTATGGGAATAACCAAATGCTTTCTAATTTGATTTGAGGCTTGCTCCAAAGGAAGGAATTCTTACCTAGTACTATAAACATGGTCCAAAGTGCTGTGGATAATTGATAAATAAAACACTGATTGGCCAGTAACCAGGCAGGAAGTATAGGCGGGACTAGCAGAGAGGAGAACTGAGAGAACAGGAAGGCAGAAAAGAGGAGACGCCAGTCTGCCGTCCAGGGAGCATCATGTAGAAGCAGCAGGTAAAGCCATGGAACCCAGGGCAACATATAGATTAACAAAAAAGGGCTGAGTATAAGAGTAAGAGCTAGACAATGGTAGACCTGAGCTAATGGCCGAGCAGTTAAAATATTATAAGCATCTATATGTTTATTTTATAAGTGGGCTAAGGGACTGCTGGGGCTTGGAGGGACCCAGAGAAAAAAAACTCTAGCAACACCAAAGTCCATGGCTAAGCAGGTCATAGGCCCTAGGGAGTGACCTGCTGCTGTTGTGTTGCCAAATGGACATGTTGTCAAACAGCCTTCTAAATATTTATGTTTATACACATAGATGAGTGCTGCTCTCAACCTTGACTAGGGAAGGATATAGTGGACAGACATCTATGGGTCAAGTGCTGAAAATAAATGACTGGTAAGTGCTTAAGCCCTCAATGAGACAGTTATAACAACGTGTGTGCGTGCACGCACACGCGCACACACACACACACACACACACACGCACACGCACACACACACATAGAGTGAGAGGTGGGGGACTACTCAGGGAACACCATGGAAGAGGGAGTAGAAAAGATGTAAGAACCAGAGGATGGGGAGGAGTGCCTTTAAAGTTCTGTCTGTAAGCTATGACAGCCATTGACCTCATGAATTCATAGCAACTACGGTTATCTGCACAAGTCGGGGACACGATCCAGCCAGTCAATGTTCCATCTTGGGCGGGAGAGGGGCTCATGAGGCTCCCCACTCCTAGCTGAGGAGTCATTGCCCATTGATGGCTGCTGGAATTAGGGGGAATCATTTTTCTTCAGAGATGGAAACATGGGAAAAGTTTTTCTATAGGTACACCACTCTCCTGTAAAGAGTTGAAGCTTTCTTTTTTTAAGGCTGGAAAATCCCAACCAAATCCAGCCCAAATCAACAGATAATTAATTGAAGAGTATATAGTAAAGATCTTAGGTAGCTAAGATTATTGATTCATGCAGAGAAATTAATTGATCTGAAAGACTGTGGAGCAGGTCATTAATATAAAATACACCACTATTATCTCTTACAAGAGGCTGCAGATGTCTGAATTCTATAGCAGTGCCAAAAGAAATTAAATGCAAGCCACATAGGGATTTTTAAACATTCTAGTAGACATAAGCTTCAAAAAATAAGGCAGAGCTGGCAAGGTGACTTAGTGGGTAAGGGCCCTGGCCACTATGCCTGACCGTTGAGTTTGATTCCCAGGACCCAGATGATGGAGAGATGACTGACTCCCACAAGTTGTTCTCTGGCACTCAAGAGCATACACACACACACACACACACACACACACACACACACACACACACACACACAATATGGCAGGTGCACATGCCCCCATCAAAAAAGAAAACCTACATAATCTTCTCCAAATACATAAAATAAAAAGTAGAAGTAAAATTAATTTTCATAGTATGCTTTACTTAGCATTAAAACATCTGACAAATTTCAGCAAATCAATATTAAAAATAGCTAACAAGGCATTTTTTTTTTTTTCCGAGACAGGGTTTCTCTGTGTAGTTTTGGTGCCTGTCCTGGATCTCACTCTGTAGACCAGGCAGGCCTCGAAACTCACAGAGATCCACCTGCCTCTGCCTCCCAAGTGCTCCCAAGTGGATTAAAGGCGTCGCCACCACAGCTCCGGCGGCATTTATCTTTTTCTTGTACCGTCTTCAGAACTTCGATAGATGCTATATTTTTCTTGGAAATATCTGATCTAACTTTTACAAAATCTACAATTGAAAAACTAGACCAACAAGCCCACACTTTTCTGCGTTTGCCCAGTTAGGTGGGGCAGAACCTCTTCATGCCAGGCTTTCCAGTTCTCTCACTGAGACTGGGACTGTGGGCTCCCACAAGAAAAAAAAAAAAAAAGCTGAACGCCCAAAGAGCGTTTGTTTAGTCTTTGTGACAAAAAATATTAATTGTATTCATATATTGAATTGATCATATTGGTAAGTTTTAGAGTTTTATTTTTGTTTTGCTTTTTATTTCATTTTTTGCTCCCGTCTGATCAGTTTCATTGGAAGAGCCCTTTCTTTGATGGCGAACACTCTGTAACTATGTGTGTGTTGGTGGGGGAGGGGAGGGGCATGCTGACATTGCAAGTCACTGCAAACAAAATGCAAGCAGCTGTTGGCTGTCCACTGCCCTGTCCCCTCCGGGTCGAGCTTTGGGTTTAGCGTCGCGCTCTCAGGTTTTGGCAGAGACACGGGCTCTGATAGAGAACACGGCGGCAAGGCTTTTCCAACCGAATGGTTTGCTGTGGGTATCTGTGGAGGCCTGGGTAAGGGTGGTGGAGTCGAATTCCGTGAAGAGCAGGAAGCCAGACAACCCCTCTGACTCCAGGCTGGGTCCCAGGTCCAGTGAGTCTGTGTCCTGGGCTCCGCCTTCTCATACCCTCCAGGCCTTGGAATGGCAGAGCCTGGTGGAGCCTCGGATTCTCTTATTACTCTTTTTGTTGGTGTTTCGATCTGGGGCGGGGAGAGACTGCTCTAGCTCCCTTTTCTTGAGGTCCCAATCTGGGTCCCGCTCATCAAGCAACAGCCCTCTCTGGCGGTGGTCTCGGCATTCCGGTTCTGCCCTACAAAGAGACGAGTCTGTGAGCGTGATAGAAGGAGCCTGGCCAGCACTGCCACCGACCTTGCTTCCCGAGCACTACACACAGCGCAGGCCATTCATAGTCTAGTTAGGACGGTAGGAGGCCAAGTTCACACATGTCCAAGTGCACACGCGTTAGATTCCAAACCTTCCAACGTCTGGACTCAGATCCCAGAGGAACTACCTGAAGATGGAAGAGGCCTGGATGTGATTAATCTTCAAAGACTGCTAGAAGGGACTGCTTATTGTTAAAGTGCCCATATTTCCAGAACAGTCTTCATGTGATTGGGAAGCTGTTCCTTTTATTTATTTATTTTTTGTTTGTTTTGGTTTGGTTTTGGTTTTTCAAGACAGGGTTTCTCTGTGTAGCTTTGTGCCTTTCCTGGAACTCACTCTGTAGCCCAGGCTGGCCTCGAACTCACAGAGATCTGCCTGCCTCTGCCTCCCAAGTGCTGGGATTAAAGGTGTGTGCCACCACCGCCTGGCTGTTTCTTTTAACTCTATTTCCTGACTATAAAAAGAACACATGTTCGTTGTTTAAAATTTTAAAGTATAGCCTGCCACGTATGCAATACCAACACCCAGGAGAATGAGGCAGGAGGATTGCTGCAGGTTCAAGGCTGGCCTCTGCTGTATAGTAAGCTCCATGCCAGCCTGGGCTACAGGTGAAATCCTATCTCAATCAACCAATCAATTAAGTAAATTGGAAGTGCAAGAAGTAAATGCCAATTGCATACATTGTATGTATAGGTAAATTAAGTAAAAAATAGCCTAAGAGTGTACATCCTCACAATGTGAACTGTGAAGAAATTCAGTGGTCTTGTCTAGCGTCATAAAGCCTCTGATCCCACTACAGGAAACCCAATTGCCACATCCTCTATTGTATGAGTGACTTTGCTAGCCAGTCTGTTTCAGCTCATCAATCCCATGATGAGTTCAACATTGGCTTCTTGCCCAACTAACTACAGTCCTCCACCCACCCACTTCAGCTTGCAAGGCTCCTGGCTGTGATCACCCAGTCAGCCAGGGCGTTCAGCCCTCCATACACCCTCCACATCTTCTCATGCACACTGGACTGATGCACATTTCCAACACCCAGATCAACAGGTTTTCTCTCTCCTCCCTTGGCCAGGTCTTCACTCTATTTGCAGGACCAGACTAATTACACCCACATCCAGAATTCTTTCCTCTGACTCCTCTAGCAGCAGAAAGGAAGTAAGTTTCTGGTGGGAAATGGTAGGTAGACGTGATTCACATGTGATGCAGCTGACGTTTATTTTTGTCTGCTCAGCATTGTCTGCCTGATTTCCCTGGTGGTGCCCACTCCATTTTAGATAACTGGGCCAAATGTCATGTGCATCCGGTCACTAAGGAGGGGTTAAGATCACTCAGAAAAATCCAGAGAAAACCAAGGACAGGACTCTGAGGAATTCTAGCATTTGAAAGATACCCAAGGGAAAATACCGACGGTACCGGGCTGTAATCCTCACTCTTGGGACAGGGAGGCAAAGCTGGGTTGTACAGTGAGGCTTTGACCAAAAAAAAAAAAAAAAAAAATTAAAAATTAAATGAAGGAAAAAAGGGAGGGAGAAAGGGATGAGGGAAAGAGAAAAAGGGAGGAAGAAGAGGGTGAAGAGAGAGGGGGGAGGAGGAAGGAAAATGCAAGAAGATTGACTATGAGTGGAGAAGGGAGCATTGTGTTAGCAACAGGGAGTTCACGAGTATTCCTATGAGGAATGTGTCAGTGCAGCAATGCGGAAGACTTCCAAAATGAGCGCGAGATGAGGAAGGAGAACCAGCTCTGTAGATCAACTCCGGAGCTTAGGAGCCTGGAGGAGAAGAGAAAGCAGCCGGAGGGACCTCTGGCTCTGTCCATTTGGTTAGTAAGATCTACATGAACGTGTTCACAGACTATAAGGGGGGGCGGGGTAGAGATGACTAGCAATCCAAGAGGAAGTGGAGACTAAACAAAGAAGATGTGAAGATTCTAGATCAGTGGTTCTCAACCTGTGGCTTGTGACCCCTTGAGGGGTTGAACAACCCTTTCACAGGAGCTGCCTAAGACCATCAGAAAACAGGTATTTACATTCCAATTCCTAACAGTAGCAAAATTACAGTTATGAAGTAGCAACGAAAAGAATTTTATGGTTGGGGAATCACCACAACAAGAGGAACCATGTTAAAAGACCACAGTGTTAGGAAGGTTGAGGACCACTGTTCCAGATGGAGGAACACCATGACACAGAAAGCATGGGAAGGCGAGGTGAACTGATGTGGGCATTTGTAAGACCTGGAAGTACGGTGGGGGGCGGCCTTTGAAAAGTGTGTTCCTTCATGAATTCAGGTAGAAAGTGTGTCCTCTGAGAAACAGTTGAGGTGGGCTTGTATAGAAGTAGACATCTGTAGTTCCCTGCCAATATTCATCTACTTATTTCTGGGCCTTTCTTTAGCCGGTCAAGCCCAGGAGTGGAGAGTGTAGAAATGTCAAGTCCAACAGAAACCCAGACAAATGACTAACTATGGTGCCCATTAGCATACCAAAGAGCATGCTGGCTTCCAGGCTCTCTCAACATTACAAATACCTGTTACAAAGTCCATGCTGGCATTCTGGAGCTTCTCAGTTCTTCTCACCCCACCCCCAAACCTAAACTTCTCCAGCTCACGGGCATCCTTTCCCCCAACTTCTCATTCCTATAAGCCCTGTCATTTCAGCCATGCTATCTCTTGGCTCACTCTTGGCTCTTGGTCCTCTTGGCTCTCTCTCCTCTTTACTGTCTCTGATGGGTGATGTCATTCTGTGTTGCTCTGATTGATTGATAAATAAAGCTGTTTGGCCAATGGTGAGGCAGAATAAGGTTAGGAGGGACATTCTAACTAGAGAGGAGGAAGGAGAAAGGGAGAACAGAGAAGATGCTGCCAACCACTGCCATGAGAAGCAAGATGTAAAGATGCCAGTAATCCAAAAGCCACTTGGCAAAGTATAGATTTATAGAAATGGGTTAATTTAGATGTAAAAGCTAGCTAGCAAGAAGCCTGAGCCATTAGGCCATAGAGTTTATAATTAATATAAGCCTCTGTGTGTTCATTTGGGTCTGAGCGACCATGGGCCATGGGAGCTGGGCGGGACCAGGAAAACTTCCGGCTACACTGTCTCTGTTCCTCTCTCACTTTCCTCTCATGGCTCAGTCCATTCTACTGGCCATGTTTAGTCTACTACTTTGCACTGGAATGCCCCTGGCTGTACTCTCCCTCATATCTACAATAAAAAACCTCCTCTTCAACCATCATGTCCTCACTTTACAGATCTGGTGCTGAAGCCCACTTTATACAAGAGATCCATCCACAGCTGGGGATGCTAGGTCATAAGGGTCTAAAAATTATGATTAGAGGCAAGGAAGGTGTGGGATACCATACCACAGTATCCAGATGGCAGGGGAATTAGTGAGTCCCCCACACAGGTGATAGGTTGGGAAAGAAAAATGTTGAACAACAGGAGTTTCAGATTCAGATACCTGTGTAGGGACCTGAGAAATAATAAGATCAAGGGAGCCATGTCACATAGCAGGGTGTTAGATGTGTAGGAAACTCAATGAGGGATGCCTGCTGGTGCTCAGGCCATGGCACACAGAGGTCCTGAGTGTAACACCTAGAACTGGGGAAAAGAGTTTGTGAACAGGACTCATATCTTGCCTCTTTCTAGCTCCCCATTTGTGATCTGTGATATTTTAAATGGTGACACTATTTCCAAGGTAGGGTCTCTTGAGGCACTTCTATGGATTGCCAATCTCAGCCCAGGCAACAGTTTTACTAGTTTAACTTTTACAGGGTTGGAAGTGTTGGAGATTGAACCCAGGGGCCTCACATGGGCTAAGCAGGCACTCCACTACTAAGCTACATTCCCCAGATCTTATTTTACTTTTTCTTTGAGACTAATTTGCCCAGACTGACCTTGAACTCACTCTATAGCCCAGGCAGGCCTTGCATTTACAATTTCCCTGGCTCAGCCTCCTGAGCAGCTGCTATTTTAGGCCTAAGCCACCATCCTGGCCTAGTTTAACATTTGGACCATAACTGTATTTGAAGCTCATCGGAGACAGCCCATGGTCACTGTTCTCTACCATAAATTGGCATTACTTCCAGGTTTTCTATCTCATCTTCCTTCCCAAGCAACCATGTTCAGACCAGGCTATTCAACGTTTTCTCATATAAATCACTTGTTGACCCAAATTATAGGTTCATATATCTCATTTCTATTCCTCTCAAGGCTATAACTGCAAAGAACAGAATTAGTACTTAATTATATCCAATTGCTTAACTTAGTAAATAAATGAATGAATGTTTGACAAGTTCTAGTTGTGTTAGGGGAGTCATACATGAATGTAGACGGGTCTTAAAAAACAGAAGTCTAATTCATTTGCCTCATGAGGTATGGGGGGGGAGGGCGTTATGTGTATGTGTATGTGTTTGTGTGCGTGTGTATAAGGAAGTCAGAGATCAATGTAGTGTATCATCCCCTCACATTTCGGGACAGGATTTCTCACTGGATTTACAGCTTGCAGTTCTGTCCAGACTGACTGTCCTGGGATCCTTCGGTGTCTGAACTCTCAAACTAGGGCTACCGATGTGGCCATCGTGACTAATTTTACATGGGTTCTGAGGTTCCAAACTCAGGACCTCTTGTTCATGTGGCGAGCACCTCACTGACTAAACCGTCTCCACAGCCTCTGCTGCACTGCAAGTGTGAGGAAACTGAGAGTCAGGAGGCCGGTTTAGCTCCTACAGAGTCATACAGGTAACTCGAGTACCTTTCAGAAGCCCAAGAGTGGCCATGAGGCTTAGGCTGTGTCCCATCCCCGAACTTAGTGTCCAGTTCTTATTAGAGATAATTTTTGTAAGATCTAAAGCAAAAGATCAATGTACTTTTCACCCTCAAGTTGTCGTTCTAATAAAAAATATTAAAATCAAGTTAAAAATTATTATAGAGGCTAGAAAGATGGCTCATTCTGATAAGAAGAGTAGCTTTTTTTTTTTTTTTCAATGCAGAGGACCTTCTCTTCCTAGCCCACATGGCTGCTTAGAGCAGTTGGTAGCTCCAGTTTCAGGGGATCTGGCATCTTCTTTTGGCACATACATACATCCAGGCAAAAACCTCATACACATAAAATAAAAGTAAATAATCGTTTAAAAAATTATGATCCCAGTCAATTGGTTCAGGGGTTCCCAACCTATAGGTCATGACTCCCTTGGGGTCGCATATCAGAAATCCTGCATATCAGATATTTATATTATGGTTCATAACAGCAGCAAAATTACAGTTATGTAGTAACAACAAAATAATTTTATGGTTGGGGGTCACAACAACGTGAGGAACTGTCATGAAGGGTCCAAGCACTAGGAGGGTTGAGAACCGCTGGGTTAGATCTCTTTGCTTTGTTTTCATTTCCCTGAGATTGGTCAATGGACAAAAACTCCATCACAGGCTCCTTTCCATCGCTGGGAAAACACAGTACTTACTTCTCCAGGAAGTCCACACAGGCTTTCTGCCCATAGATCTGTGCGATCCTCTTGGGTGTATCTCCAAAGAAGTCAGCAGCATCAATGGCAGCGTGCAGTGCGTGGAGAGTTTTGAGTACATTCAGATGGCCTGACTCAGCTGCAAAGTGAGCTGCGGTCCAGCCCACATCAGTCACCAAGCAGGGTCTGGCTCCATATTGTATCAGGAGATGTATCACTTCCATTTGCCCTTAGATATACCACGGAGAAAAAAACATGGAGTTAAGATATAAATGTCCTCAGTGGCCTGAGGCCAGGAGAAGCCTAGACAGTACCGATGCAGGAGGAAAGTGGCCTTCGGCGTACCTCTGCCTTGTTATCGTCATTCTTCTTCTTGGGAGGCAGTTCCCCATCCTCCTTCCATGGAGACCTGAGCGCTCTAAGAACTTCCTGTATTCTTTCTAGAACAGTCCTCCGTTCTGTGTACTGTCCCAGGCCTGACTCGAGTCCTTCCCATCTACGCACTGGCAAGCCTCGCTGCTTCTGCAGCTGCAATATATTCCTTGCTTGTTTATTTTAATTATTTATTTTGTAGAACTTGGGGTTGAAGCTAGGGCCCCACATATCCTATGCAAATTCTCTACCGCTGAGCTACAGTCCTTAGAACTCTCCTTACTTTTTATTTTGAGAACGGGTCTAGTTAAGTTGCCAAGACTGGCCTTGAACTTATACTGTACCCCCAAACAGGTCTTGAATGCTCTGCTCCATTTATAAATAGCCAAAAATGGGAAACAACCTAGATGTCCCTCAACAGAAGAATGGATAAAGGAAACAGGGTCCATTTACACATTGGAATATTACTCAGCTGTTAAAAAATGGCATGATGAAATTTTCAGGGAAATGGATGGAACTAAAATAAAATCGTCTTGAGTGATGTCACCCAGACTCACAAAGATGAATATGGCATGTATTCACTTATATGTGAGTGTCAGCTATGAAGTTAATGATAAGTGAGCTACAATCCATAGAACCACAGAGGTTAGATATAGAGTAAGGGACAAAAGGGAACAGATAAATTTCCTTAGGAAAGGTAAATAGAATAGACAGCTATGGATGGATGTGGGGGGCTAGAATAGAAGGATCAAGTGGGGAGGAGGTTGTGGGAGGAATACAAAGAGAGCGGAAATTAAGGGACATTTAAGGGGTAGTATGGTATCTTAGTTTGGTCTTAGTTTCTGTGAAGAGACACCATGACCATGTTAAAGGAAAACATTTCATTGAGGCTGGCTTACAGTTCACAGGTTTAGTCCATTATTGTCATAGTGGGAAATGTGGCAGCATACAGACAGACATGGTGCTGGAGAGGTAGCTGAGAGCTCCACATTTGGACTGGATCAGCAGGCAGCAGGCAATGACTGAGCTACTAGGCCTGGCTTGAGCTTCTTAAAGTCCTTAAAGTTCTTAAAGACCTTAAAGTCCCGCCCCTCAGTAATGCACTTCCTCCAACAAAACTATACCTATTCCAGCAAGGCCACAACTACTAATAGTGCCACTCCCATGAGCTTATGGGGCCATTTTCATTTAAATTATCACATATGGAAACCTAATATAGTAGAAGCTTTCTAAAACATATACATCTATGAAGGCGATCTAAATGAAATTGCCAACTAATGGAGGGGTGTGTGTCAACATTCCAACTGGCCATCTCTTGTCACCAAACAAAGCTTCCAGTACCAGTATTGGGTTAATCTAATTGAGTTGTTGGTCAAAAGGGCCCTACAGGAATCCCCAAACAACTCCAGCTGTTACCAAAACTGTAGGTTGCTCTCCACAAACTGCCAGCAAGGCCCCATTGCTAAAGACAACACCTATACAACTCATTAATGATGGAGATGTTGAGCCAGTGCCTACACAGAGCCTTCACCCTATGTTCCAGCATCTTTGGTACAGTAAGGTACTCTTCACGCTCTCAAAAGAGACATGAACACCAAGCCAGCCACAACCCTTGTATCTACAACAGTGTCCTATCTGAAAGATATGCTGAGGCAATGGTGGCACAAAGCATATGGAAGTCACCAACCCATACCTGATTCAACTTAAAGCCCACTCCATGAGATGGAACCCTTACCGGACAGTGTTGTGGAGTATTATTTTAGGATGTGTTACATTTGTTCATGCTGTGGAACATTTTTTTAATGATGCAAAGATGTGTTGCTTTCTTTTATGTTGCATTTGTTTAACTTTGTGAAGCTGTGCTGCTTTGCCTGCCTAAAATACCTGACTGGTCTAATGAAGAGCTGAACAGTCAATAGTAACGCAGGAGAAAGGACAAGCAGGGCTGGCAGGCAGAGAGAATATATAGAAGGAGAAATCTGGGAAGGGGATCAAGGAATAAGAAAAGGAGAGAGGACACTAGGGGCCAGCTACCCAGCTACACAGCAAGCCATGGAGTAAGAAGTAAAGAAAGGTATATAGGAATAGAGAAAGATTAAAAACACAGAGGCAAAAGGTAGATGGGATAATTTAAGTTAAGGAAAGCTGGCTAGAAACAAACCAAGCTAAGGCCAGGCATTTGTAAGAATAATCCAGCCGGGCGGTGGTGGTGCACGCCTTTAATCCCAGCACTTGGGAGGCAGAGGCAGGCGGATCTCTGTGAGTTTGAGGCCAGCCTGGTCTACAGAATGAGATCCAGGAAAGGCGCAAAGCTACACACAGAGAAACCCTGTCTCGAAAAACCAAAAAAAAAAAAAAAAAAAAGAATAATCCTGCGTGTGTGTGTGTGTGTGTGTGTGTGTGTGTGTGTGTGTGTGTGTGTGTGTGAGTGATTTATTTGGGAGCTGGGTGTCAGGCTCCTAAAAGAGAAAAGAGCAAAAACAACTAGCAACACAGTGTTTGGGTGACCAAGAAGCTGAGACTAGACAGCCCAGGGACCTAGGGTAAAAGGTAGCAACTTGCTGGGAGAGAGAAAAATCTGTTTTCTTCAAAAGAGTGACACCGAGTATATCAGCCACCCTAGGATAGGCCTCGTGTTCGGGAGTAGGGTATCTTTTGTGTGTGTGCTTTTATTGGCTATAACTTGGTATTCTTTTTTTCTCTTTAGGTATGGTTTTACTTATTTTCCTGGTTTGGGGGGTATTGTTGTTGTATTGGTTTTGTTTGTTGTTTGTTTTTCAATACAGGGTTTCTCTGTGTAACCCTGGATGTCCTGGACTAGCTCTGTAGACCAGGCTGGCCTTGAACTCAGAGATCCATTTGCCTCTGCCTCCTGAGTGCTGGGATGAAAGGAGGGAGCAGGGAGAGGATCTGGAAGGACTTGGGAGAGAGGAATAATACTATCAAAATATACTTAAATAACAAAAATATAATAAAACATCAAAAATACATAAACTTAATTTTTAGAATAAAAAAAATTTTAAAACTTGTGTTGATGAGATAGCCCATCATTCAAGCCTGGTGCCATGAACCACAGCTTTTTTTTTTTTTTTTTTTTTTTGGTTTTTCGAGACAAGGTTTCTCTGTGTAGTTTTGGTGCCTGTCCTGGATCTCACGCTGTAGACCAGGCTGGCCTGGAACTCACAGAGATCTGCCTGGCTCTGCCTCCCAAGTGCCGGGATTAAAGGTGTGTGCCACTACCACCCAGCCTGAGCCAGAGCTTGAAGTAAAACAGAACCAACTCCTGAAAGTTGTCCTCTGACTTCCACTGTATACCATGGCATACACACACACACACACACACACACACACACACACACACACACACACACCTACACACACATACACACACAATCATGCACAAACACACACTAGCAAAACTAATTACAATCAGTAAATTGAGCACCCTTAGAATACAGCTGTCACAGTTTAAGAGCACAGGCTTTCTAATTGGACAGATGTGCATTCATTCTCCAATAATACCTTGGGTAAGAAACAAATGCTCAATGCCCTCATTTGCAAATTAGGGCTGCACCATTGGTCTCACCAAATCCGTGAGGAGTATGAATAAACTCCCAGACACGAAGCACCCAGTACAATATCCAGCACACAGCAAGTGTTCCTGAGTGGTCATCTGATACAGTTACTAATGCTCCCTACACAGATTTCTGCAGAAATATCCCAACCAAGGTTTTTGCAGCTGGTTTTACTTTCTGCCTAGTCCCTCTCCCCACAAGAGAGAAGACACAAATAATTGACAAGCAAAGTTGTCTCTAGTGCTATTTTCCCTAATGTCATTTGATGGTGTTTATTACTAGAGACTTTTCTTCTAAAAAAGTTTAATTCCAGAGAAACCCTGTCTCGAAAAATAAAACAAAACAAAAAAAAGTTTAATTTATGTGTGTGTTTGTGTGCACATGTGCTCATGCACATGTCTGTAGGTGCCCCACAGGCAGAAGGTGTTGGTTCTCCTGCAGCTGGAGTTAGAGGTGGGTATAGGTGCTGGGACAAAACTTGGTCCTTACACGAGCAGTGAGCGTTCCTAACTGCTAAGCCATCTATCCAGCGCCAATTTCCAGAGACTTTGACTGAGTTTTGTCACTAACTTCTGGTCGCATAACTGGGATGTGCTGGGAAGGGGCGGGGATTCATCTTCATGATGCTCCATGCATGAAGTCATGAAGACAGAGGACTAATTGAGAGCGTTGTTTAGAGTCTCATCATGTTACCTAACTCCCCATCAAAGAACTCTAGTACAGCATTACTGCCCCCATTGTGTAGAAGAATGAGTGCCCAAAACATTAAATAACACAACCCAGGGGCTGTCACTAGTAAGGGTCAATGCCAGGTGAAATGGTCCATGTAGCATTAACGAAGTGTCCATCCCACTCTGACACAGACTGACGGCCTCGTGAAGGTGGGCCAGGAGGAACGGGTCTACGGGGTCATTGTCTACTCACCTCTGATTGCAGCCCAGTGGAGAGGCGTCCTGTCATTCCAGTCCACATCCTTGTAGTTTGGGTCACAGAGACCTTTCTTCAGAATCTTCTTCACTGAATTGCAGTCCCCTGCTGCCACGGCCTGGTGGAGCTTCGTCATGTCTGATATTTTCGACAGTTCCATCACAGAATCTGCCCGAGATACAGGCCATTTAGGAAATTCCATACAAATCCTTCACCCCTAGCAAGGGCTCCCTAGGTTTCTGCATCAGTGACTTGCTTTCCTGTCTTGTGGATTTGCATCTAAACTGTGTGAGTGTGTGTGTGTGTGTGTGTGTGTGTGTGTGTGTGTGTGTGTGTGCGCATGCGTGTGCGTGTGCATGTGTGTGTGTGTGTGTGTGTGTGTGTGTGTGTTCTGCTGTGTGGATGGCTAACTCTCAGCAACTGTGGATAGCATCCACCATTCTGCAACCCCCAAACTACTGATGGCCTCCATTGTACCCAGAATTATCTCTAAAGTAATAGACTGGCACTTTACAGTGTCCCCTCCACCCATCTTCCAGTGTGACTTTTCAGCTCCTCCTTCAGGGTTCTGTTAGTTTTATGCTACCTTGAGTTGGTTGTGGAGTTCGGCATCTTGTCTTTCTAGTATAGAAGCATCCAGAGATGCTGTGGGGCCAGTGACAATCTGCATGAACAGTTTGGACTGGATGACTGGATCTGGCATAAGGGATCCATGGAAATTAAAAGCTATTGCCACACCACATGAGGAATACAGCTCGCCAACACATAACTAAAACAGCTAAAAATTGTTGTTAATGTATGCCACGAGGTGTCTGGGAAGATGGCACTGTCAGTAATGTGGCTTTTTTCTCAAGCTTGAAGACCTAAGTTCAGATCCCCAGAACCCCCATACAAAGCTGGGCATGGCGGCTCATGGTTGTAATCCCAGCGTGGGAAATAGAAATAGGCGATCCCCCAGGCTCCCTTGCCAGGCGGTCTGACCTGGTTGGTGATGTTCCAGGCCAGTGAGAGACCCTATCTCAAACAAAAGATGGGAGACTGTGAGAACCAACACCCAAAGTTGTTCTCTGAACTCTATACACACATGCACACCTCCACACACACAGCTCTCCTCCCACACACTCATACACATGCACATGCACACATACACAAAATACTGTGCCATGGATCACCAGTGCACACACTGTAATCTACAAACCCTTAAGCATCCCTGATTTTTAGTTTAGGGGACTTAGGAAATGAAAACTGTTTTCATTGTCAGATTAAAATGTCACCAGCCTCGTTCACTCTGTTGTCACTTACCCTGTGGCTTAAAGGCAATGGTAGAGAAAACTGCTGATGCCTGGACACACAAAAAAGATGCCATCAGCAAACTGCTGTATGCACCACACTTATAGGAGAGCACCGCCTCTGGGGAGCATGTTACAATCCAGGTACAATTTGGAGTGCATTTATTGAATCCTTTACCCCTGAGTATACGGCTTAGCAAATGTGATTGTAAAATTGTAGTGCCCACGCAACTACCCATTCACCATGTCGGACTGAGGGGCTAAGGATTAAAACAGAGACAAGACAGCGGGTCATTGTCTAAGTAGAATTCCCTTTATTGAAGGAAGGAAGAGGCCTTAAATACAGGCTTACAGCACAGTGGGAGAACCTGGAGGGCAGAAGTTTGCTACAGATGTTTTACATTCTTGCATCCTAGCTGTTTACACCAAATATGCAGGATACACAAACAAGGAACCTCCTGTAAGCTGTTCTGGAGGAAGGAAAGCAGCAGGGAATCAGCATAGGGAGGACATCTGATCAAGGTCAGCAAGCAAGGCAACAGCTACCCAAGGGACGGGGGTCAGGGCCCAACGTAAAATGAAATGTGCCAACATGAGGGAATCTCCATCACCCATGGACCGGTCTCTCCATATGAAAAGCACAGGGTGTTGCAAGACGGAGCACAGGTGAAGAGAGTCATTGGAGGCAGGCCAGTGGGTTCTAATGGAGTATCGCAGGCACATAGACATCATTTCAGATGCTACATGGCAGCAAATCTTTGAGACATCGCCACTTGTGGGGTTCTGATGTAGATCCAGAGAAGAAAACCCATGATTATCCAAAAAGGCTACAATTACGTTTCCCTGTCCAACTTTACAAATGTCTGAAATCACCGTTTCTTTATATACATCCATCAAAACATTACAGTGAATGCCAAAGCTGCTATAAAGATCCAACTGACCCCAGTTACGGTAGCTGTTAAAGGGATTTCTGGGAACAGAGAGCACACCAACATCATTCTTTACATTTTTTTTGTTATTGTGGAAAACGTGATTACTTTTCATGAAAATATTTCTTATTGTGCTGTTAACTTTCTTTAATTCTATGAGAAATTTAATTCATGAAACTACTTTAACATGTTTCTAGATATACCATTTTTTTGTCAGCTTGACACACAGGGAAGGAAGTTGAACTGAGGAATTTGCCTTCATCAAATTTGCCCTCAGATGTGGGAGGGCTCAGTCCACTGTGGGCAATGCCATCTCTGGACAGGTGGTCTTGGGTTGTATAAGAAAGAAAGCAGCCGGGCGGTGGTGGCGCACGCCTTTAATCCCAGCACTCGGGAGGCAGAGCCAGGCGGATCTCTGTGAGTTCGAGGCCAGCCTGGGCTACCAAGTGAGTCCCAGGAAAGGCGCAAAGCTACACAGAGAAACCCTGTCTCGAAAAACCAAAAAAAAAAAAAAAAAAAAAAAAGAAAGAAAGAAAGAAAGAAAGAAAGAAAGAAAGCCAATAAACATTCCTCTATGATCTTTGCTTTAGGTCCTATCTCCAGGGTCCTGCCATCACCTAGGAAGATCGGGGCAGGAACCCAAGGCAGGACCCTGGAGGAACAGCAGTTTACTGCAACCTCCTCCCACAAGTTTTTTGGGGTCAGTGTTTTTATCACAAGATAAGCATAACTAGGACTCTTGTGGAATGGGTTTATTAGAATTCCCATCGATGAATTCATCCCACTTTAAGAAATTCTGTTTGAGGGCTAGAGAAATGGGTCAATGGTTAAGAGCACATGCTGTTCCTCCAGGGGACCAGAGTTCTTCTCCCAGAACCTACATCAGGCAGCTCACAACCACCTATAATTTCAGCTCTAGGGGATCAAAAGTCTCTAACATTTGGTTCTAAAACCTACACGCCCCTCCAAAATGGGAGCTAATTTTTAACTTCGTATGCTGGTAATATTGATAGATGTAATCTAAATAAACAAAAGCCCTTTGGGTGACGTTTAAAAGATTCTGAGCTCTAACGTCTTGAGAAATGCTGATATGAACACATGAGGACTAGAGGCAAGAAACTGGAGTGGGCAGTTGCTTGAACTTGTGCCCACTGGGGATGCCTTAGATCTCAAGATTCAAGCTGAGAACTGGAGAGCCGGAGTCTACCTTCCAAACTGTCATCGCGAACAGCTCCAGAGTTTGTTAGAAATGCAAATTATTTGGTTCAATATCTACCTGCTGAACCTGAAACTCTGGGACAGGGACCAAGGATCCTGGCATGGCATCTGATGCCTAATCGAATGCCCGAGACTCAGAGAAGTAAACATAATTCAAATGTAGTGTCAGGGGACAGGAAAAAGAGCCAGTCACTAAGATGGGGAGGTAAACAGCGCTGTCCTGTCAGAGCTCTAGGTTGGGTCCTAAAGAGATGAATAAGGGTCGTTTTTATGACTGACAGCGGAGGATCCTGGGACTAGGAGCTCACACTACACAGGGTAAGAGCTTCCGACATCAATGTGTAGACCAGGGCTCAACAATCTTTTTCTACAAAGGATCAGACAGCAAATCACTCTTACTCGGAGGGACCAAGCGAGGCTACTACATGGGAACTTAAAAGCTGCTCTATAACAATGGGAATTCCCGCTCCACCCTTTTTTTCTATGTGCTTCACGTGAATGTGCCATCTCCTTGGTATCCAACACCCACCAGCTGCAGGCATTCTCAGGACAAAGAAGACAGGCGTGAGGAGGGAGCAGCTGGTCAGTGAGAAGGTCAGGCACCTTTCAGCCCCAGGGCTGGAAATCCTCTGGAGACCTCATTCCTCGCTGGGTTGGCAATTTCAACAGCCAGTGTTGAACTACCTGCACTTAGACCATTGACGGGCTATGTAAGGATGTAATGCTAAAATCCAGCTGTGGCACAATACTTTTCAGACGCACCTTTCACAGATACCTCCAGGCTTCCTACAGAGACGCTTGCGTCTGTGAAGTCCCTAGGTAACATAGTTTCAGATGCCTGGATTTCTCGTCTGGGTCAATAAGTTTACGTCAAAAGTGGACACACATCCTGCTTCTCAGCCCTTCTTTGCCTCCTGCCTATGACTAAGAGAGCCCGGCTACAGGCTTGTGCTGTGAAACCTCCTCCATTCCCAGAACAGTGTAAGAAAAGGCCCCTCCTTCTGCCTCACGGGCTCTGATTCTTCTTCAGAGACCCTGCCATGCTGTCTGTCTCCTACTGGGGCCCAATCTCAGACTACTGCCATGTTTTTACTACCTGTCTGTCTTCCATGGCAATAATAATCTTCTAAAAATCATTCATCATCAGTACAACTTGGCGTCCTCTTAAAGCCCATCTAAGACCTTTAAGACTGTGCCAGAGCTTAGTGTCACGTCCAACAGGTACTACTCTGTTTTTCCCCAAAAGGGCCAGTCCACTGATTTGGTCCAAAATCGAGTCTAGGCTCAGCCCACCCTGGACTATAGAAGAATTTCTGGTGGTTGGATAAAAGCCAGTATTCCTCAGGGACTTGAGAAACTGGTTCCCATCTGCCAAAAGGAGTCATCTCCCTTGCCTCTGGCAGGGGGCACTTATGGCTCTCCATTGACATATACGTGTGGTTGCATATGGAAGCCCATGGTGGCCTTCAGGCTCCTTCAGCCCCTACTCAAGCGAGCTTCTTATACATCTCAAAGCCCAGCTAGTTCCCTTGCCTTTCTCACCTCTCTCCCAAGGCTGTTCCAGACACAGGCACACATGCAAGCACTCACACACCCCCTACACACACACACACACACACACACACACACACACACACACACACACCCCTGCACCATGCTCTCTTTACATAGAGGCATGCAAGCACTCACAACCCCCTACACACACACACACACACACACACACACACACACACACACACACACACCCTGCACCATGCTCTCTTTACATAGAGGCATGCAAGCACTCACAACCCCCTACACACACACACACACCCTGCACCATACTCTCTTTACATAGAGGCATGCAAGCACTCACAACCCCCTACACACACACACACACACACACACACACACACACACACACACACACACACACGCACACACGCACACAGACCCTGCACCATGCTCTCTTTATAACACAAGGTTTTTCACTCTACCCTGCTCTTCCTGCTGGTCTCACACTTGCTATTCTCTGCCATCCCTGTTTCCCGAGCCCGGGCCATGTCCAGTCTGCTTCTTTGTCTCCCTGCTCTGGACTCTCTCTCCCAGATGCTTCTGAATGTTTTCTCCCTCTTAGCCCTCAGTCATGGAGTGGCCAATCACGGGTTTCTTTACTGTGCCCCTCGCAAACATTTAGCATCTTTCAACACTGTGATCAGAAGGACCTGAAGGGGGGGGATCAAGCATAGTGGGGGCTGGGCAGGCAGGTGACTGGGGTGAAAAGGTCAACCAGGGTGGAGATGTGAAGGCTCACCCTGTAAGTCTCCTAGAACCAACCTAGGAAGGCTGGGTATCTTAGATGACTACAAGCCTTCAAAACAGGAATGGGATTTGGCCTAGAGGTCACGGATTGCCAACCTCTGTCTGCACAGATCGATTAGGGAAATTGCTTGTGTTTCTGGCTCGGTAGGTAGTAGACAAGGCCTTAAATTCTACAATTGTAATGAGTTCCCACAGCAGGCTTAAGCACTCACTAGACTGGATAGCAGTTTCTCTCTGAATGGAAAGCAGGGAGCAAGATTGGAGACTTGCAGGACACAGCAAGAAGGGGATGGCGGCTCTCATTAGAGGGGATAGATACATAGTATCACCAGTGGAATGTTGGGAACAAAGACCCTTGACCTTGACCCAAGCGGATCAGAGTCTCTAGTTATGCAAGACAAAGGCTGAGTGTGTGGCAAGAGAAAGGGGTTCTGCATGTGCTTCGTGGAGTAACAGAGAAGATGGTATCCACAGCATTTCACCTTTTTTGGCATGTGTGGGGATGCATGCTTGCGTGTGCATAGATACATATGTGGTGAGGGTGTGCATGCATGTGTATGAGAGTACATGGGGAGGCCAGAGGTTGAGCGTCTTCTCCCATATATTGAGGAAACATGTTTCTCTTGAAGCCGTAGCTCACTGATTCAGCTACCTGGCCAGCTTTCCCTGGGATCTCCCGTCTCTGCCTCCTGAGAGCTGGGATGGGCCACTAGACTCACACTAGCACTTACACGGGTGTCAAGATTCAAACTCTGGTCCTCGGCTTATACATCAAGCATCTTACCTGCACCTGTGGAGTCTTTCCCGCGCCCCTGCGTCTCACTTTTTAAACGTGACTCACTGGGGCCAGGGGAGGTGGCTCAATTAGTGAAGGGCTTGATCCACAAGCAGGAGGACCTGAGTTCAGATCCCCAGAACCCATGTCAAAGGAAGCCTGCCGCCGCTGGTGACTGTGATCTCAAAGCTGGAGGACAGGAGGCGGGCAGATCTCTGGAGGTCACTGGCCAGCCAATTTAGCAGAATAAATGACTAGAAGTTCAGTGAGAGGCCCGGTCTCCAAAGAATTCTGTGGAGAACAGCTGAAGAAGACACCCAGAGTTGATCTACGCTTCCTATGCTTCTACACGTATGTGCACAGACACACACACACATGCACACATACAAAATAAACTCAAATTTAAAAATAAATATTTAACAGACAATCCTTACCCTAGAGGATTTGGTCAACAATGAACAAACGTTCATAGATCTCATCTTCAGGTGTTACTAAGCAGAAAACCATTTTTACAGCCAGTGTGCAAAAGCCCTTCCGCTTGACTCCTACACAAGCCTCTAGGCTTTAACCGTCCCCATCTGCTCCACATCTGAGGCCACACCAAAGAGCTTGCACAACATGTGGACGAGGAAGCCAGAAGTTTGCATGGGCAGCAATATTTTATTTCCAGACAATTGAAAAGTGAATCCCCCAGCCCCTAGAAAAATCATATAGAAATGCAAAAAGAAGAAGAAGAAACACAAGAAACAAGCAAACAGAAACCCATCAACATTAGAACAGGCAAAACCATCTCAAAAGGGATAGGGTGAGAGGCCCCGACTTCGTGACTTCAGGACTCACGACAGGCAGTTCATTGCGGGAGGAGGAGGCTTTTAGCAAATGGTACTGAGAGAACTAGACGGTCATGGGCAGTTTTCCTTGTTCTGCCTTGACGGTTTCAGTCTTGCATTTGTATCTGTGATCAATTATGAACATACTTCATTTATCTGTACATTTTATATACCCATGTATAAACAACTGTGAAAAACAAGGAACATGAGCTTTTGAGAGGGCCAGGCAAATACCGTGATAGTGTGCCCTAACAACTCAGATTAAAAACTAGGCCTCGGTCCCTACTCTTGAAACTAGAAAGACAGTTTATGAGGAAGCCATAAACAAAGGGCAATTAATCACTGGTGCTCCTAACAACAGG